GGAGGGGATGGCTATAAGGGGAGAAGGGAGGCCATCCTATTTAAAAAAAAAAAGCTACTGGTGCCCCCCAAGTGCTGCCAATCAGGAGCCTGCTATAATAAGAATATGTTGCCAAGAAGCATTGTTACAACAAATAAATAATCTACCAAACAAAWTGTCCTTACTTTTTGTAAAAATGTTGTCCTTTGAACAGATTCTCCTTTGGAGTTGCCAAGGCTTCTTATGCTATTCTCCTTGTCCAGCCTGTCAGCTTTGTAAAATGTTCAAAGCTGGAGATATTGTTTTAAAACTTTACTCTGCTTTAAACTTCTGAATGACTTTATCCTTGACCTGTTCCTTGGTGTTCTGTAACAAACCTCTGATGCTCATAGAGCARCTGCGTTTATACCAATACTACATACGTACAGGTGGACTCTATTATTTAGGTCACTTCTAAAGACACTGGATTTTAGTCTCAAGTGGGTTGTTGCTTTTTAGTAAATGAGTAAATTTATGAGTAAATTTAGTAAATTTAGTAAATTCTTAGCAAAAATGTCTTTTGGCTATTAAATAAATGCATTCAGAAACATTATTGGTTATCTTGTATGGCTATTTTTTAGATAGGGAAACAATTTGAATGTGTTGATTATTAACTTCAACATCAGCATTTAACTAAGCAATATAAACATTTGATTCAAATTATAATTGATATTTTGTTGTAACCAAGGGCAGTATATTGTTTTTGCTATAACACCCACCCCACATTTAGAGCCTCTTTTAAGCTAAACAGAATGAACTACAGACACAGTAGTAGTAGAGCTCTGGTTAGAAAAGGCAGACATGTTCTTTCAGCTGCTCACTTCTGCAAGGATCACCACTGCAAGCAAACTCACATGAAATATTTGTTAATTATTTCACAGGATGTCCTTACTGATGCAACCAAGCTCAAACACAGCCTCAAGATTATAAGACGACAACCGTGACCATTGAGCTACTTCAGACTTTTTTTAAAACTTCATTATTTGACATACGAGCTGGTTTAGTTATAACTATTATAGTGCCATAGTTCTTTGTGGTGGCATTTTGCCCCMAATAAAAACTGACTAGGTTTGTTGGGTGGCTTATTAATACAGAATACTCTTGACCTATGTTTTCACATGATCTTTGATACATGCTAATTTAAGTAAAATCTTCTTCTTTTTTTAGAGTTTGTCATGCATCTCCATCTCACTCTGTACTCTTCATCCTCTGCCCTCTTTCTACCCCAATCTCCTCTCTAACTGTATCCATACAGTATCTCTTCTTTGGCATTCCCTTTTTACTTTTTCCTGGCAACTGCTTCTTTGACATTATGAACTCCGCACGCGAAGCGTAAGCGGGAGTCATATTGTTTTCATACTTTTTTTTTCAGTGATTTTGGGTCAACTGTAGCACAAAAACGGCTGCATCAAACAACATGAAAATTTGGCAGGACTGTAGATGAGTCTGACCTACAC